TTTTGTCATTTGCTGTATGAATGCTGCGCGGAAGTACAGAAAATCGCATTTACAATCCCAGGTACAACTATGTATGCTTGTATATTTTATGATTTAACAATAACAACGAAATATCACGGCTGAATGAGTCGAAACTTTGAATTGGCCACTTAGCAGCATTTCATGGTTAATTAGCGCAGTACGTGGCTGGTATGTGGTCATACATAAATATGTACATACATACAAACAAACCTGCAAACAATTCACACAATTTCAATGCAAATGCAGTGATAGCGCAAAAGTGGTTGGAAAGCGCGATTGTGGTTGAGTGCGCTCCAAGTAAACGCCGCCATTCAATATCCGCCCACTTAAATGCGCCTCGCTTCCATGTATGCCGCTGAGATGATTACTGCTGCTGCCGGTGTTGCGCTATATGCAACTGTTATCCAACTATGCATGATTTTTTAGCTATGTGTGAATACGTAAAATATGCATGAATGTGTATGAAAATATATGTATGAAATTTTGCCTAGCAAAATTAACTCGCGTAGTGCGAAATTTGCGTATATTTTTGCATATAAGCACCGTTTGATGAATTTCATTGTGCGCTTCCAGTGATTCCACTCAATGCCAGTTTCATATTGATATTTAGCGGTTGTCGTTTGCCAGTTGCCAGTTTTTCAATACCTACTTTGTTACATACAAATGCTATGCGGCATTTCGACCGCATTATTGCTGGCATTTTCATGTTTCAGTTTCATTATTTCACTTTTTTTTTTTTTGATTACAACTGAGTTCGTAAGCATGTCGGCGGTTGACAGTCAGCAGCAGTCACAATTTGGCAGTCGTTACTGTATTATTACGACCGAGCTCGTTTGGATTTGGTAATGTCAGGATGCTCATATAGGTATGTATAAATGTAAATATATGTACTCGTACATTAGACCGTACCAGAAAATAAAAGTTCCCCATACGCCACTGAGTTTAAAATATGGTTGCAAGGCAATTTCGATAATTTTATGTTTTTTCCGGCATTTAAAGTCGTATATTAAAGCATGATATATCGAATTTCACCTGATCTCAATTCCTGCTACCTAGCATACCACCTGAATGTCACTAAATTTGAGCTCAGCAAAGATCATTAATGTTTTGCTAAGGAAGTATTTCTGTTGGAAGGTGGTTTCGAACGTAAGTGTTACCTTTTTATATTTTTCGCCATAGCTTCGGCCATTACAGTCGAAAGTTAAAGCATGTGATATCGATGTTATTGCATCAAGGATGGATTTTGTTTGTCCCGAAGTTCATTGACCTCAAGTACGCCATTCTATTACTTATCCTGTATATATCAATATCACCCTCACGCACCACCCTAATAACAGAGAATTCAAACTCACCAAAAATCACTAAATTTTTGTTGAGGAAGATTATCGATTATTCCAGTAGAACTACTTAAACAATTTTTCATTACCGAATATACTAGGTGGAACCGAGAATGTAGAGAAAACATTTAAGGGTTCGTGCAAAAAAAATTATTTTTTTATTTCGAAATTGCCTTGAAAAAATACTTTATACTCAACGGCGAGCTTTTTTTGCTTGTTTTTGGGGTGGTACGGCCTAATGAACTTAGGTATACATAAGTACATGTATGTACATATGTCCATTTGCACGAAGTTCGACTAATGTGTGTATCAGCCATGGGGAGTGAAAGTTTTAAATTGTACCTAATTGATGCGACAACTTGTACCTAAAAGCAGACAAAGTTAATACGGATTTTCCCCAATAGATGGCGTTAAAGGCAGATAAGTATCTCTGATAATACCAATCGCATTGAACCATGTATAATGCGGTTTGGTAATTGACATTAGCCGGGAAATTCTGCCAGCTGTCAACTCACTACAGTCTTTCGTAAGATACTTGTTAGTTCTGGCAACTATCTTGAAAGCTCTTTTTTGTTTTTTTTTCTAATTGAAAGACCTGCTAGCGAAGAGGTCTTAGCGTTATTTTGTTTATCTTTTAGCACTATGTTTTCTGAAAATTAAATGAAATAAAAACATGTTTTTTTAACAATAAACATTTAAAAGAAAGTCAAACTAAAAAAAGCAGAAATAATTAAATAAAAAAAAAACTTTTAATAAATCAAGTTTTTAAAAATTTAATTAATTCAACAAATGGTTTTCTTTTTAAAATAACAAAATCTAAGAATTTAAAGGAAATCAAATTGAAAAAGGACCTACAACTTTATGAAAAAGAAATGCATTTTTCATCTGAAAATAATATCTAAAAATTAAAACAAAATTAAATTAAAAAGGGAAAAATTAAACTAATAAAAAAGGGTCCCAAAACGATTAAAGCGAGTATATAAAAAAAAATAAATCTATACATTTAATTAAAAAAGAAAAAATTTATAAAAAAAATGTATTAAAAAGGAAAAAAAGTTCCTAAAAATTAAATGAAATAGATTTTTTTTTCAAATATAATAATTTAAAATAAAAACAAAATACAATTAAAAAAAAACAGATGAAAGAAAACTGAAAAATATATATCTTTTTAAAACAAGAAGAGCTAGAAGTTAACAGAAAACTTAATAAATAAAGAAAAAATGTTGTAAAAAGAATAAGATAAAAACATAGGTATGTATGTAAAAATTAAAACAAAATATAGGAATATTTTGTTTTCAATAATAAAAAGAGCTTCTCACCATGAAAGTTGGCAAGAGAGCTTTTTTGTAAGACTTTCGTGCCAGAATAAACAAAATCTTTCAAACTACCTTGCCTACTATCTTTTAGCTGTCTTACAAATAACTTTCAACTATCTTAGCCAGAATCATCCTGTACATAACATGTCGTATTTTAATCTGTTAAGCTATGGAGTTAAGACACAAAAAATGGGCGCGTCAGAGTTAGTTTAGCTTGTCTCACAGCTTTAGTATAGATTGTCTCGAGTTAATGTAGTCTTTCGCACGGCTTTCAAGATTTGATAGATTGACGGCTACCGACCAGTTGAGACCAAGTTGTCCGGGGCCAACGGAACGGCCGCCAAAATGTCTGCTTGAAAAATACCACATAAATACTTCCAGTTCAGAGCTTTAGACCTCAGTTCCTACTCCTTCGTACATTTTGGAACGTTCTGTGGAAAGATATGTGTGTCGTCGTCTTTAATCTCCACACCCTTCCACTAACCCTCAGCGTCTATCGTAGCCCCAAGATACCTTTGGAAGCCTACATGTATGTATATGCGGGATCACATACTATATGTATTTGTCCTCTCAAAGATGATGCTATAATACTGGGACCATACGTTTTGAATCTAAGCTGAAGTCTTTTCACAAAGTCTTCAGAAAGTTAGTCGCCGTTTACCACACCATATACCGTATAATAGTATTGGCTTAACTATAGTCACACCTCCTGTGCAGTGTAGGATTCCATAGTACTTTGTGCTGGGCTTTGGTTGTAGAGTAGTCTCCTAAACAATCATCTATTTTTAGCACTACGTCGATATCTTCCGTGGTCCAGACGCAGATAGCCTTCAGCGTCTGGTTCGTTAGAAAACTGAGGGATAGATGCTAGTAACTTCAAATCAAAAAAGGGTAAACAACCTAAAATTGGTTATACCAACTCTTCCATCACTGTTTTGTATTAAATAGTGTGCCTGAGTCCGCGGAATGACGGATACATAGAGCACTCGTATGCTTTGTGGTGACGCGTTGGTGTGGTTGCTGCTGTTTGTGTGCCTTTTGGCGATAAGGTAAACCTACGAAGTGGTTACTGCGGACTGTGGTAAAGTTTTGGTCAATGCGTCCGCTTGAAAATACATATTTACATACATACATAACTTGTTAATAAAATTTCTGTACAATTGCATTCAGGTGTTGAATAATCTAGTCACACTTTCAGGGAAATGAAAATATGAAATGAAAATTTTGGTTTCTACGTTCATATGGATTTGAAAATATCAAAAACGTAATTATACTAGTGACAAGTGCACGTTGGATTTGATACACTACCACTGTTTAGACATGTTATGCTGTTGTATATATTGAACAGGAGCAGTTGTAGAAGTTACTTAAGGAATGTAATGCTTTTATTCTAGAAAGCATAGCTCCATGTTCGGACCACTTCTTTGGAGCCATAAAAAGCGGACCGATGAAAATATGATTCCGATATTATGTACAGTCAGAGTAAATAGTTCGTATACACCTTGTTCTAATAATAATATTCCCAATTATTCTCACGAACATATTTTTTTTAAAATAATTTTTTATGAAAATATAGTTCATTCTTTAAAGTAAATCATATAAATCCAAGTTTTACACTTTTTATGAAATCCGCAAAAATTCAAAATATTGTCATCCAAATTATAGACTTTTTGTCATCTGTTTACAGTTTGGTTGTCAAATTCACTACAGCTGATCGTTTAACACATTTACTGGGACTTACCAGCAACAAATCTTCGAAATAAAATTGGTAACTTCTGACGGAGAACGGACCTTATTTACTCTCTTATTTGTCCTCTCCTTTGCCAGAGAATCGAGTACGGGATAGATTTCCAGTAGAATCTGACTATTTCTGACTAGTTTGAATCCGTGCGGAATCGGAGTTATTAAATATCGTTACTTACAACAAAATGTAAGAAGAAAAATCTGGAAGGTTTATAGTAACATATATCCTCATCGTGTCGGTGTACTTGCTATGTCAGTCTTACTGGTGTGCCGGGCACAGAACCATGAACGAAGAGGTGTACTGGGTGTAGGGTTGCTAATTCGAATGTAGGGTGGCGGTCGCCCTATTAACCTACATAAATATATATTCCCGACCATCTTGCTCATTCCCTTCCTCTTCAAAGCATCTTAAGTCAGTGGTGTTGAGGTACCCATTGCCAATGGATGAAAGATCAATAGAGCTTAAAGAACTGGCCGCTAACGGTCCCCTCCGATGCACAGGCATCGAGACCAACAAAGCAACCAGAGGTGTTAAATGAATTAGGCCTAAGGAAGGGTCTACAAAAGAACCAGCTGGGAAAAAGGGCGCAAACGAAAAGCACGCCCCAGCAAGAATAAACTTTGGCTAAGCGACGATATTGTGGCCAGGTGGCCAGGGATCAAATTTCTGATCGCGCTTGTCGATGAAGCGGAAGGCAGCGGATAGGCCGTTCAGGAAGGATGGGCCGAGATCCAGTCAAAACTCTCTGAACGGGTGGGCGAAATATTTTTAAAATTATTTTAATTAAGAAAATCGTAAAATTTTAAGTAACACAAAAACGGCGTCAGATATTCTGCATGCTGAAATGTTTTTTGAATTTGGTGGCACACTGTTGAAACTTCACAGATATGTTGCATTTGATGGTACCGTTAATTGTCTCTAATATTAACATTCTATTTAAAAGCTTCCCAAAGTTAAAAAAAAACAATTATGATTTTTTCGAGTGACAAT